ATCGCATCGCATTGCATCATTGGTGCTCTACATCATTACCTTCAGCGTGACCACAGGTTTGCCGTTCTGCATTTCGCCATTGATCATGAAGACTTTATCGTCATCGTTAGGGTCAGCAAACTGAAGTCGATAAAGCTTTTGGGTTGAAGAGCCAGCATTTTTCRCTTCAATGTTTACTGGATAAATAAYAAGTTAAAAATAAATGATTTCARAAACCTTCATTATAAAGGGGCGTGTACAGGGACGCATGAGCATGACGCATGTGTACTGTGAAGCTGATAAAAATGAAGTTTTACTGATGAATTAATTTCACTGGAACATCCCGCAACTAGATAGCTTCTTCCAACACTGACCCTCTCCCCGCCCATCTCTTATAAATAATCCGGGGAGGGGGGATTACTCTGGAACAGGGTATATATAAAATCGCGCTCGCTCTAGGGCAGGGAAATAATTTACCGAAGACAGATTTCATAGGATCGACATGAACATCTCCATCGAACAGCAGTGACTGGTCCTGATAATTTCTCTTCAAGAAGCTCTGGTTCTTCTGGCTGACCATCRACCACATGCGGTACGTGTCATTCCCGCGGATTGGATGTGGTGGCGGAAAGGCACCATCAATATTCGGATGACAACAATGAACGGTTTCGTTTGACATGGTCGATCAGACCTCTCGAGTATTACTGAAAAGACAAAYGTACAAAGTATTTGAACTTGAACATAGGCAACCCACTATAAATAAATTAATCTTGCTTAACGCAATGCATTCTACCTAACCAAACCACGAATATTATAAACAAACTGTGTAAGGTACGTCACTGAGGATCAAACTATGAGCCTCTTGCTTACCAGGCAGGCAACACACTAACCAACGAAGCGACACTGAGGATCTTCTGAGTAACATATCATATTAAAGGATAAAAATACGGACCGCTCGCTCACATTACCTAATACAACCAACCAGGTGATTGAAGAACAAATGATGATAAATAAGAATCAAATCACTAAAAAKGGCAAATTCCTTTTCAAGAAACTATTAATATTAATCATAGAGGTTTAAATAACGAATAATACCTATTTTAGAACGGTTTTTTTAGGGAGAAAAACTTCTATATTCCCTAATACTGTAAACAAATGCTTCAATTCCTTCTCTGTGCATGGTCCAACGTTATCATATAGCAATGGATAAATTAAGTCGAACAAAAGCCTAGAACAATAAGTTTTCCAACCATTCAACCGCGCCAATAACTATGATACAACCAAACAGATCATTTTCCATTACCTCAAAGAAGTGACGTTGAATTCTTCAAGTTTTCTTCCTTGTTGTTCTCGTTATYAGCTCCAAACTTTCCTCTAATCCTCAAGCGACAAGTGTATCCTTTTATTAGTAAATGCACGTGACTATAATAGACACGTGATATATTCTGATTGGACAAGTTTTATTTTTACTAATGTTTCGCAGCCGCRMGTTATCTGAACATCTTATTGATCAAGGAAAAGAGCATTTTTCATTAAAATTCCATTGTGATTTCAAAACTCGAACCCTGTCAAACTATTTGACAAATAAAAAAATGAAAATCTGATAAACCATGCAGGTTCGCCGTTAATATGAATAAAAAAAAACTTGATAGTTTGTAGTACCTTTTGATTGTCTGGTCGATTTTGAAGCGTTTTTACGGAGTTTATTAATATTCACTGATATTCACTGAGTCTCAATGAATACTTGTTTTAATATACAGTCTTCCGACAAGGGAACATCTAGAAAGTATATTTGACTGTTTTTTTGATTTAATATCTTTTTGAAAAGTAAAAATCGTGACTCGAGGCTCCGTAAACATTCACCGATATCAAGATAAAACGAGCTAGTTCATTTTCTCTTGCCGATATTCACTTCATTTCGACGGGTAACTCATAAGAGTACTAAACCCTCTTGCCCCTATAAATTCCAAAGCTTTTTTTTTCTCTCTCTCTCACGAAATAAGACGAACAAACTAGAGCTTGCACAACTGATMTTCTTGTCCCTAAAACTCGCTCAAATAGTGGTCTTAGACGCTTTCAATATTTGTTAAACAAACTTTTATTTTCTCACTAGCTAAGGGAGGGGAGGGCTGATGCTTGAGAGGAGGGGACCTTCAGGAAAGATTGGAGGGTCCAACCTTTTTATTTTGCAGTACGACAACTGTTTCCTTGCAATTGTTGACTTCGATTCATAGAAGGGTCATGAATTTTCTACTGAGTGAACTGAAAAGAGAGGGCTACAACGCTCTTTATCGTAAAAGTAATCTTATTTCAGAACCTTGTTTCTTACTGCGAATCACTCGACGAAATAAGTTTAAACGAATGCCTACAATACGTTTATCTGGTTTCCGGGAACTAGAAACTTTAAAACAAAAAAGCCAACAATAAATAGTGGCAAATATCCAGTTAGGTTGATAAATATGACGAGTAAGTGCTTGTTTCGGGTTAACAATAGATTATAATATCAAATAGATCCAAGGTTATCAGGCCATTCAATGCAAGCTTCAAAGCAAGATAGAAATCAAACTTCCGAATGAAATGAATCTTTGTTCCTTGATAGGAACCCATGAACTGGTTTGACTATTGTAAATCCTGCATGATTGCAAATGTAAGGTATATAATCAGTACTATATCTTATATTTCAAAACATAACTGATTTGAGATTCGAAATATAGGCGAGCATAAGCATTGTTTGTCATAACAAAAATTAAGTACGAATTCAATAAATATTTTCTACCACAACGACGAAATTAAGTACTATTTCTAAAATGTATTTCAGTGAATCTTCCCACGGATGAATTTTATTTCATTTCGAGTGAAAAGCTGTTGTCTATTCATCAACCCACGGGTAAAATTCTGTCGTCGTTTTCTTTCGAGAATATTACTTCTGGGTTCCTGACAAGGATGTTGTTTCAGTATTGATCTGACTGAACCTGATCAAACTAGGAAACTTTGATTTATAGCTATACGGAACTAAACTTCCGTTTATTAAACAAGCGAGATATACGACTTCATTTCTAGCATGTGCTTTAGACATTGTGAGGTCAGACTTGCCACAGAAAAGTACCAATATCTAATAAGTATGCGTACAGATAAATAAATAAATAAATAAAAGAAAGAACTGAAAAAAAAAAGCGCGAGAAAAAGAGCATGCAACGAGACAGACAAACAAGCGCTTCACTATGGCAAACGTATCTTTTGCTTTAGCCACTCTAGCTATCTCAGTGTTAGGAAACTTTGTACTATGTAGATACACGTTTTTTCATGTCATGTTAGGGCTTTTGAAACCATTTATATACACCAAGAAGATAAACCTGTTTTATCTGATGTATATATCTGTTTTATATCGTATTTTTATATCTGTTTGCTTATCGATCATATCCAGTGAACAACTCATTAATAACATCATGATTCGAGTCAGATTTCTTGACAGACGTGTTGCTGCAAAAACCTTTTTGTCAAACAAGTCGAAATTTAAATAACTTTATCACATGCAATGAAAACTGCAATCTGCTGGGGGAAAAAGAAACGAAAATGAAGCATTTTAAAATGCATTGTATTCGTGAAATAGTTTGACAGGGCTTGAGTTTTGAAATCAGAATGGCTGGAATTTGAATGAAAAATGCTCTTTTCCTTGATCAATAAGATGTTCAGATAACGTGTAGCTGTAAAACATTAGTAAAAAATAAAAATGAAACTTGCGAACCCGCATGGCTTATCAGATTTTCATTTTTTTATTTGTCAAATAGTTTGACAGGGTTCGAGTTTTGAAATCACAATGGAATTTTAATGAAAAATGCTCTTTTCCTTGATCAATAAGATGTTCAGATAACKYGCGGCTGCGAAACATTAGTAAAAATAAAACTTGTCCRATCAGAATATATCACGTGTCTATTATAGTCACGTKCATTTRCTAATAAAAGGATMSACTTGTCGCTTGAGAATTAGAGGAAAGTTTGGAGCTAATAACRAGAACAACAAGRAAGAACAATCGAAAAATTCAAACTCACTTCTTTGAGGTATGGAAAATGATCTGTTTGGTTGTATCATAGTTATTGGCGCTGTTGAATGGTTGGGAAACTTATTGTTCTAGGTTTTTGTTCGACTTAATTTATCCATTGCTATATGATGACGTTGGACCGCGCACGGAGAAGGAATTGAAGCATTTGTTTACAGTATTAGGGAATATAGAAATTTTTCTCCTTAAAAAAACCGTTCTAAAATAGTTATTATTTGTTATTTAAACCTATATGATTAATATTAATAGTTTAAGGAAAAGGAGTTTGCCCTTTTTAGTGATTTGATTCTTATTTATCATCCTTCATCATCATTTATCCGCATGGTTTTTGTCATCGAATGAAAGTTTTCAATTTCAAAATGTCCATACATGAAAATAATAAGGAAATGAGTATTTTCAGTCATACTTGTTTTGGTTATATTGTGCACGGTCATTATCACGTGATGGTACTGTTCAACCTCAAAGGCAAGAAAATAGCTTTGTTCTATGGAGTTTCCAAACCATTCCGCTCTATTAACTATGGTTGTATTAGGCATTTTGAGCGAGCGGTCCCTATTTTGATCCGTCAATATTATATGTTACTCAGAAGATTCTCAATGACCTCACACACTTGCTTCAAGGAGCACGAATTGCGGCATGGTTGGTTAGTGTGCTGTCTGCCTTGTAAACAAGTAAGAGGCTCTGAATAGTTTCATCCTCAGCCGTGAGCCGTGAAACTATAGTTGAGTTAGGTAGAAAGCTGTTGTGTTCCTCTTCTTCAAGCTTAAATACTTTGTACGTTTGTCTTTTCAGCAATACTCGAGAGGTCTGATCGACCATGTCAAACGAAACCGTTCATTGTTGTCATCCGAATATTRATGKTGCCTTGCCGCCACCGCATCCAATCCACGGGAATGACACGTACCGCATGTGGTCGATGGTCAGCCTGAAGAACCAGAGCTTCTTGAAGAGAAATTATCAGGACCAGTCACTGCTGTTCGATGGAGATGTTCACGTCGATCCTATGAAATCTGTCTTCGGTAAATTATTCAATGTTGAAATATTGATTGAGAGACAAATGAATGGGAGAATGGGAATGAATGAGAGGATAATGAGAATGAATGAAAGAATATTCATTTCAAAGAGATGGGGTGAAAGGGTCAGTGTCGGAACAAGYTATCTAGTTGCGGGATTTTCGAGTGAAATTAATTCATCAGTAAAACTTCATTTTTATCAGCTTCACAGTACACATGCGTCATGCTCATGYGTCCCTGTACACGCCCCTTTATAATGAAGGTTTTTGAAATCATTTATTTTTAACTTGTTATTTATCCAGTAAACATTGAAGTGAAAAATGCTGGCTCTTCAACCCAAAAGCTTTATCGACTTCAGTTTGCTGACCCTAACGATGACAATAAAGTCTTCATGATCACTGGCGAGATGCAAAACGGCAAACCTGTGGTCACGCTGAAGGTAATGATGTAGAGCACCAAAAGACCTGTATGTGATGTGATGTGATGTGATGTGATACGATGCGATGCGATGCGATGCGATGCGATTAGATGCGATGCGATGCGATGCGATGCGATGCGATGCGATGCGATGCGATGCGATGCGATGCGATGCGATGCGATGTGATGTGATGCGATGCTGTAGGACACCAAAAGACCTTGATAGGTGGATACAATGGATACACGGATGGAGAAGATGAATTGATGGATGGATAAATGGGATGAGTAACGAATGGATGAATGAATGAATGAATGAATAAATGAATGAATGAATGAATGAATGAATGGATGGATGGATGGATGGATGGATGAATGAATGAATGAATAGTGAATGAATGAATGAATGGATGAATGTATGAATGAATGAATGAATGAATGAATGAATAAATTAATGGATGGATGAATGAATGGAGTGAATCGTTTCCTTCTTTGTATCTGCAGCATGTTGATGAAACCTCCAATACACCAAACGGAGCTAAGTTTGAGGCGATTACCTATTACGCCTTCACAATGTTCCGTTGCTTCAGCGTGAATGGCCAGACAGACCTGTACCTGGCATCAGACAGGGATGGAAAGGTCCTTTTGATCGATGGAGGAATCACAAGATACCCCAATCCTGCAATGCTTTTCATCGCTAATCAAGTCATATAAACCAGTACCCAAGGATACATGCAACTTGAAAATGCTTTCTACTATATTATCATTGAAATGCAACCCGGTAAGTGCAATGCCTCGTTTGCAAACTAGCATTTTAACGACCGTCAATTAAAGAGCAGAAATAAAAAACAATATCTTGAGAAAGATTTTAGACTGAGTTTTATATATTCAAAAAGAYTTTAGAGGATTGGAGGGTTAAAAACTTTAATTCAGTCCAAAATCTACCTAAAGATAGTTTTTTTTTTAAATTTCAGTTCTTCGGTTGACGGTCGTGGAAATGCGAGTCGGCAAACGAGCTACAATCTTGGTCAAAAATGTTGAGAATTTTTTGGTTTTGATGGTATTTTCATGAAAAACCTGACAAATTCACCTTAAAACGACCCTCTTCCCCCTAAACAATGTTGTTCCCCGGGAGACAGGGCTGCTTTACCTACTGGGACCTCCTGGGGGAGAGGGGGTACGGACAATATTTTTWAAAATAAGGGAATCTACTATTTCATGATTGGATGAAAAATTCTCAACTCTTTTTGTCCAAGATTGTAGACACGCACCGACTATTTCGCGGGTCGCACTTCAACGATAATGGTATATATGTAACTCTTTGTTGATTCTCGTAAGATATTTTTGTAGAACGTGTCTGTTTCTGAGGAACTCGACGACTCGATTTCCTGAAAAAAAASAACAAAAAACAAAAAACATACACACACACACACACACACACACACAATTTGAGAGACGGACTGAAAAAAGCATGAAAACGGAGAATAGTCACTAGCTTTATTTTGTGTGATCATTTTAATTAATAAAGCTTAGCATAAAAGAAAAAAAACGTTAGTCAGTTATTATTCCGGGGGGAGGGACGGGGGTCAGATTGAAAAAGGGCTGGATACTGTTCGTACCTTTTGGTTTTAGTWCCAAATCTGCGATTCGGTACCTCTTAAGGTGTTTTTGAGGTAAGRAGATACCCGAAATTATATCAACGACAGCAATAGCAGTCAACTTGATCAGGTATCAGAATAAAAAAATCCATAATTTGGGTTCCCTGTGGAAGACCCAGGCAACCCAAATACAAGTTGATTCCTGTTCTACTTTGACGATGGAATCAAGTTCTCTGTAATAGTTCTCGTTATGTAATACTGAGCTGTTATCGAGACACGGCAAATCTTTCCATCCTGTCCTTAACATGATCTCGAAGATCAAAACTACGTTGTCGAGGTCGGAGGTGTCTTGGCCAACATATTTGTGTGTGTGTGTGTTTGGCATTGGATCATGGATCGCAATCAATGGACTTTGGGTAGAACTTCCTCTTCTCGTCAACCGTGTACCCGAAAAATGGAATCTCCCGTCGTATCTAACAATCATTGCCCAACTAGCAAATATAGGCCCGTTGATATTCTCAATTGGCAACCGTTTAGCGCCAAACCAAGTCACAGAAAAGCCTGTAATTTTATTGATTTTGAGTATAGGAGCAACTTCTTGTGTCTTGTTGTCAATATTTTGGGACAGGACCAGTTTGCTGTTTGGTGTTGAACACAGCACAGCGTTGTTACTCTTGTCGTTTAGCTTGGCTATTGTGGATTGTACTTCATCAGTTGTGTTCCTGACGTTTATGGCTACCTTTAAAACGGAATACATAACTGCACTTTTTGTAGGAGAGACTTTGAGTGGAATGCTACCAGGATTCATAGGTCTTGCACAAGGAATAGGGGAACAACAAAAATGCTTCACAAATACTACCAATAACACACACACAGTCTCACAAAATGCCCAAGAAAATTTTGGGCCTAGTGCTTTTTTCTTGTTTTTGTTTGGAATGATGTGCCTCTGTGCTGTTGCATTCCTGATATTAAACTATATGCCATTTGCCAAAACACAGCATGTTAAAGTACCCCTGACCAGGGGTTTACGACAGAGGGCAGTGAGTGAAGATGAAAGACAGTCCTTGTTGGGGGTAGATTTTCTAGACAGGGATGACGTATCAGAAACATGTCCTGGAATATTTGGACGTTCTTGTCGCCGACGCACATGGCAAGGGTTTATATACTTGCTGGTAATCCAGGCATGGATCAATTGTCTTGCTAATGGTGTGTTAACATCTGTACAGGCTTATGCTTGTAAACCTTATGGTAATAAGGCATATCACTTAGGTAAGGGGTCATCAAAGCAATCCATCCACCCATTTATCTGCCCTCCAAGCCATCTTTTTTTATTCATTTATCTAAACATCTGTCCATCCATTCATTCAGTTATTTATTCATTTATTCATGCATTCATCAGCCTGTTTTTTTCTTTGTATCCCTATATTGTCATCTTAATATTCCTTAATATTTCTTTGTTCCTTCGATTCTTCATTTATTTGACGTATAAATTTATTCATTCATTCCTTTATCCATTCATTCATTCATKTTTCATTCATTTAACCTTTGATCACTACTTGATCCCCTCATCCATCAATCCAGCTTCTTCTTCGTACAATCACATCAAAAGAGTCATTCTGATCGTTTGTACATTCTCTTACATCATATTTTATTTCATTTCAGTTGTAACACTGACCTCTATTGCAAGTGCATTTACATGTTTTATTGCATTATGGCTGCCGAGTCGATCGGCTGTTCTCGTCACAGTTTTCTCAGTTCTTTATACGCTACTGAGTGCTTTTGTTTTGGTCTTAGCCTCGTTAAGTCCAACACCTCCTCTCCATGGCACTCTTCTTGGCTCTATCATTGTGGTCAGTACTATAGTTGATATAATATATATTTATTATTATTGATCAAAAAGAGATTGTTGGCAGTGCAAAACCCAAGGGCAGTTACATATATAGGTCTAATAAAATTTCATATTGCTTACTGAAAACACATGTAGACCTCTCTGAAACGGAAAAAAACATTACTCCCGAGCCGAGGAGGTCTATTCATTGAAGATATACAGAAATGTGCTCAATTGACAATTTGAATGATTTATTGGTACAAATGTCATTTATTTTATATCAATTTATTTAAAGAATAATCAAATTATTTGTATAATTTTGAATTTCTTTTGTAGGTTAGCGTCAGTGTACTAAGTGGAGGCCTTGTGAGCTACACCAAGTTAACGATATGTTCCATCATGAGAGAGATAGGCCAGAGAGCTTTATTTTGGTGTGGGATTGCCATTCAGACAGGGTCATTTTTGGGTGCAATTATAATGTTCCCTTTAGTGAGTGTGGCTAAGGTATTTCATCAGGCCAAGGATAGCTGTTAGGCATAATGACTTACATTGCCAAGTCAAACAAAGTTCTATAATGAATTAGTAACTATAACTATAAGACAAAAGAAATGGAATTACAGGGGTGTAGGAGCCAGGACTATAACCCCAAATTTATGGAAAATACTAAAATACTCACATTAATTAACTAAATTCTTACATTCAAAAATAAGAGAAGCACGATGCATGCTAGTCTCCTAGCATTAGTAGTCTCCTACCCAGCCACTATTAGTGTCGTCAAGCTGAGTACATAGGGGAGTGAGTGTTGCGTGGCAACACTAAAAGCTGCTAGGAGGAGACTAGGCATAAGCTTTCTATTCCATAATGTGCAACCATGCGTAATAATTAGTATAAAAGTAGGGAGAACACATGCATAGTTGCATAATCGGTGAAGGGTAATTTCTGGAATTACACATTTCAGAGAAATTTCGTTATTGCGGTCAAGCCAGTCATYTATAAACATCTCACTCAAGCCTTTCATTTAAAAACTTTTTTAAACACATAATCAAAAATACAGTTGCATTGCTATCATAGGTAATTGAAGAACACAAACAATGAAGGAATTGAAATACTCTATTTATAATTAATAATTA